GTTTTCAGTGGAGCCCTCCTAAATAAAAATCACCTAAAAATGACATAAATAAGAGTTACCTAATAAATTACTACAAGCTAAAATAAATAAGTGTAAAAAGAGTTTGTATTAGTTAAAAAGTTAAACTTCTAAAGATTAAAATTAGCTAAAATCATTCAAAAAAGTTTTCAGTTTTGCTTTAAAAATAGATAAAACACGAGTGTCTTTTAATTCACGTGGGAGGCTGCACATATTGCATACATGGACTTGTACAGTTAGACATGAACCACATGTACATTAAAAGGGCCTGTTTCACTATTCTGCAGGGCTCTCATTAAGTTTTGAGTTGCCTGTAGCCTTGTTCTCCACACCTGTAGCAAACTTGTTACTTTGTGGGTGAAGTCTTTCAACAACAGTCAATTTCACTTGTAGCATCAAGGGAAAATCAAGCATACTCAGCCACAACAGGTGCTACAGGTTATGGCCCTTAATGACAGCCCTGATTCTGTGCAGATGTAGCAGTTTGGCTTTTACCTGACCAGTAGGGTTTTCTGTGTTTACTTTGATGAGGAAAATCTTTGCTCCATTTGTTTTGTGAAAACTGTGAAATCCTGCATGAGAAAACTGCTGCAATTTTTCTCAGTTGTTGTTGTGAAGTACTAAGTCACACAATTTTATTGGTTAAAAACCTTAAGGTGGACTTTCCAACTTGTCAATCAAAGCTACATGCACATCATTATGACACAGGCCCTTGATAATTTGCATTAACAGTCACCATGAACACAGGTGTTATGTTTGTGTATTTGACGCTATTTGCATTGCAGGTACATCATTGTGGTGGAGCATGATTTGAGTGTGCTGGATTATCTGTCAGACTACATCTGCTGTCTGTATGGTGCTCCAGGAGCATATGGTGTTGTAACTATGCCATTCAGTGTAAGGGAAGGTAAGATGGAGAAAACATCACCGTTTTCTATAATTTTATTTTCGATTGACAAATTACCATAATGATAATATATTATTATAGATTTAGGAATACAGGGTTGTCACTAAGCGCCGACTGCTGGCAAAATTCATTGGGCAGAGAAAGAGGTGAATGCCAGCTGGATTTTGGCCGGCAATCACATGGCAAAGGGCAACAAATGATTTTTAGGTTATATGCCAGTACAACCTTCAGAAATTTTGGAAATTGTCATATTTGACATTTCACATTTCATTGGTTTTAATTCATTTCAAACATTACAGATAAACAAATTTCTTCAGTTTCCCAAAACTTTCCGTGGATATGTTGCAATACAGGTTATATAATTTTGGTGGTCTTTATTCTCATTGAGTGTGACTGCTCCAGAGAAATGAGTGTGCAAGAATTCTCTCTGTTGCTGTAAAAATCACTTTATCTGTTTTTTGTCACAGGAATCAATATCTTTTTGGATGGCTTTGTTCCTACTGAGAATTTGCGATTCAGAGAGTCATCTCTGGTTTTTAAAGTGGCTGAGACGGCAGACAAGGTTTGGAATGTTGTTTTGTCCAAACAGTCTCCATATCGTCACTGATGATTTGTGGAGTGTTTCAACTTGTGATAGACAAGAACAAACAATGTACTGCAAATTTATACATATGAAACTCTCAAAGTGATCAACTCAGCAATTTACTGTAGGAAATTGGTTATGTAGCATAACTGGAGCTGGTTGCTTGTGAATGCCCAGTCCTTAAATTGTCATTTGCAGAAACAGAATATAAACATGGTTTCATGTGGGTGGTTGAGGAGGAGGGCTGGTCACCCATGAGAGTGGCTGCGAATAGATTATTGGCAACTGCAGTTATAGATGACAATGTTTTAAGCAAATTTGCAGCGGAATGTTGATTCTTTAAACCTTGGATTTCTCAAAACTCCTTACAACTTGAACCAAAAGTCATTTCTCCTGGTTTTGTTTTATTTTTCAAAATATTTTACTTCATTCATTTGCCATGAAAACTAAAAGCTTAACATTATAAATGGAATGTAGTTTGGAAAAATGTGACGAGGAGAGTGAAAAGAAACTTTAATTTTAATGCAACACCTAACATCGCAAACTCGTGATTTCTTGAGCTAGTTTTCATTTCCCTTGAACATTCCAGAAATTGTGATTCCACTTTATTAAACAAAAAATATTTGGCATCTTTCAGGAAGAAGAAATAAAGAGAATGCGCAGATACAGTTATCCTTCAATGCAAAAACAACTGAGTAAGTGTGAAAAAGTGTCCACCTGATGTAATGTGAAGATCACATCTTGTCCGGGAAAATTTTCCCCATGCCTATTTCAGCAAAATGTTCACATTTCTCGGTTAAACTCATCAACAATATATGTCATAGCTTGGGGAATGGTTTGTGAAAGGACAGTGGAGCCCAAGAGCAAAATGAACCGAGCTCACAGGGTATCCATGACAACCCTGTGAGCGGCAACCACCAGGCACCGTCACACTGAAAAAACAGTTGAAACAAATGATATTTACCACATGCTTACCATGAAGAAAAGGGGGACAGGTGGGCTGGGAGAAAAGCTTGACAAGATCCATCCAGTGCAGCGAAAAACACGGAATGGCTTGACATCCGAAGCCAAGCTATAAAATCTAGGTGCCCCTGCACAAATCCCCTGACCACCCCGTACACCACTCTGAAGGAGACTGCTGGCCAGCAATCTTGCTTTGCCTAAATTACTTTTAGCCACATTTCATTAGCCAGGCTTAAAATTGCCATCTTTATCAATCTTATCTTTAATGGCATTTTCAGTGTTGGTTATCCTTGCAGAAAACTGGATGTTGTTTGCTGTTTCTTACAACAGAATTTACATCTTTTTAACCACACTACCTTTTTGAACTTACATGTAACTCTTTGTAAAAAAAAAAAAATAGTGGCAATAGAAGGTAGGGACTCCATTGTTTTGTGTGTTGTTCTTTGAGCTATTAACTCTGGTTATTTCCTGTTGTCACAGAGGAGTTCCACCTGAGTATTGACGGTGGTGAATTCACTGACTCGGAGATCATTGTTATGCTGGGAGAGAATGGTAAGAAAATTTCCTAATGTTCTGTGTGTTCACCAATCATAGGAACCACACTGGTGAAGAAAGACAAAGTCTTTGGAAGCTTAGTGGCCCAAAACTGCTGGAGCTTAATCTGGTTCCCATTAGAGGTCTCCTGCCCAGGCAGGTCCTCCCAGCAGTAAGAATAAAGTGTCTTGTCCAAGAACACAACACAATGACACTGACTGGAGGTTGAACCCAGAACTCATGATCCAGAGTACAGGACACATTATTGTCATTACACCACCGCATCTCCCTGTAGAACAATCAAAAATTGTTGCTTCACTGAACAGGGTTGAAATAAGTACTGTAATAGAATTACTCAGCTTTAAATGTTGTGTTTGCCGTTTTTAATGAACAATTAATTTTTGATTAGCGTTAATACATGTAACTTTCAGTTCATGAATTTTGTAATAATGGCTTTTCTTTAATTTTGTAGGAACTGGCAAGACGACTTTTATCCGCATGTTGGCTGGAAGACTAGTTCCAGATAATGAAGGTACTTTTTAAAAATACTCAGAAATGTTTAACCGTGGCAAAAACTATTCAGTTGTTTGTTGGTGGAAGAACCCTGCTCGGTTCTTAAAATGTTGATGACAAGTTCTTTATCAATTTTACACAGAGCAAGTTCCCATGATGAACGTGAGCTATAAACCACAAAAGATTAGCCCCAAGTCAAAGGTAAGTTGAACCTTCAGTCAATTTAGTTTTCTGGAAAGAAACAGAAATATGTGACGTATGAGCGTTATTGCGAGTGTTTGACGCTGTGTTTGCTTTTCCTGCTAATTAGAACACAGTGCGCATGCTCCTTCACGAGAAGATTCGTGACGCTTACGTACACCCTCAGTTTATCGCTGACGTCATCAAACCGCTACAGATTGAACAAATCATGGATCAGGAGGTGAGCAGGGTTTGTACTCTACGGGGAGGGGTGGGGACAGGAAGCGCTAGTTTGATGATTATGGCATTAAGGGAAAGACGATTTGGGAGTTGTTCTTTTGTAATGCTAGAGTCAGCTGGGCCAATGAGGGGATGTGAGAACAGGGCCGTAGCCAGAATAAAATTATACTGAGGCAGTGTCCATAAAAAATTATGACCAAGGCATTGTCCATGGTTAAATTCTCTTTCTAGGTTTTTAGGGTGTTTATGATGACTATAAACGACAAAAAAGGAAAAACAATGACTGAAGCAACTAGCTACGGCCCTGGACAAGGAACGGGAGTGCAATAGATAATAATTTTATCAAAGTTGATATATTATTTTAATAATATTAAAATAACATTTAACCTGCTTAAAAGCAGGTTACCAATAATCACAAACAATACGTTGTGAACTCTCCTTGCAGTTAAAGAGAAATTCATGTCTTTGGAATCAAAGCTCTCTTTTTCATGTTTTTTTTTTTGAAGTTCCACTGCTAATAGTTCTGGAGCAAGCCCAGTACTACCGCTGACACACTGCAGGTTTTACCCCCGGCTTCACTAATGTACAAGGTCATCATACTCTGGATAAACAATTGATAAACTACAGCTGTTTTATTACATGTTCAGGCTGTTTTTTTCTTTTCAGGTTCAAAACCTGTCTGGAGGTGAACTGCAACGTGTTGCGCTTACGATTTGTCTCGGAAAGGTATGCTTGGTGTCCATGAAACCCGGCTGATTATCATCAGTAGAATTTCTACTTTTAGACAAAAAAAAATATTTTTAAGGTTTTGTTTGCTTTGTTGATGGCTTTTTTTCCTTGTTTTTCTCTCCAGCCAGCTGATGTGTATTTGATCGATGAGCCCTCGGCATACCTCGACTCTGAGCAGCGTCTGGTAGCCGCTAAAGTCATTAAACGGTAAATGTTTCCCGTAACCCGTAAGCGCGCGGGAATAAGGGCTTTTGTGATTGGGCGGATTGCATTAACGTTGTGCGCTGAATGGTTAAAACGTAACGTGCCTATCGTTTGTAAATTTGAGACGTTTTTTGCGACTCTGTTGATGCGAGTCTCTGTTTGGTAATTCTGTTTCGGAAAAAAGGTTTTTTTTTTTTGCAAACTCACGTTTAGAAATTTTTAATGAACTGTTTTGGTCGAATCGTTATGCATTCGCACTACGAATTTGTAAACAAGGATTTCCTTTCCTGACAAATAGTTGTGTTGGTACCGAAGGCGTTCTTTTTAGTGTTGGTCTGTACTGTTAGCTCTTTCCGTCTAGTCCTTTAGCTCTGCTATATTTAGCACTGCATTCGCCTTATTAGTTAGTTATTCATATTTTTTATCGAGTGTTTTCACATGACGTCACTATAGCCATATTGGTGTCCCAAAACAATGAGAGGGCGGCCATGTTGATGTCCCAAACCAATCCTGTGGGAGTTTCTTGAACTCTGTTCAGTTCTTATGTGTAAACACTGTCTTTTATTCCAATACATTTGCGTGGCCATTGGCCACGAGAGTGGAAATTCTTTATACCACATTTAAAAAATACTGTTATTTTTCGCGGGGAAAACAATCACTAGATATCCGGCCAAACTACCCAGTGGTTCATTGCGGCCGGCTCTTTCCAACTAGCTTTTAACCACTGAATTGATACTGATCTTGTTTTGTTCCATTTTAGTTTCATCTTGCACGCGAAGAAAACTGGCTTTGTTGTTGAGCACGATTTCATCATGGCTACCTACCTGGCCGACCGTGTTGTGGTGTTTGAAGGCGAACCTTCTGTCAAGACTCTAGCGAATTCGTAAGTAAATGGAGTTAACAAAGAATACTTGGTCAAGTCTGGCCCGGAGTCAATCGGAAGGAAATCTTGAGCAATAAACAAAACCCAGACTGACTGTGTTACATGATTGTGATAGACTAAGTGGACCGAACTGAGCTGTTAAGTCTAAATTTCAGCCCTCTTGTTAAAATACTGTTGGAGTCGTTTTGCGGTAATTGTTAGAGGTTGATACTGTCTTCTTGAGAGTATGAAGCCACCATTTTTTTCTTGCTTATTGTTCTTCTTGTATTTAGTATTTATGCTTGCATGGGGTTTGGGTTCTACCTTATTTGTGCATATGTTGTTCCCAGTCCGCAGACGCTTTTGACCGGGATGAACAAGTTTCTTCAGTCCCTGGAAATCACCTTCCGGCGCGACCCGTCTAACTTCCGGCCACGGATCAACAAAATGAATTCAGTCAAGGTACTGTAGAGCCCGGCGTCAACTCACACCATGATCTAACCTTCTCGTGAATTCGTTTAGTTAATTCAGTTCGAGTGTGGAACTCCCAGAAGTCGATTGTCCTTTTTAAATTAGCTTAAATTGCCTTCTGTCATTTACATCACAACGTAACCTACCGTGAACGAGAGAAGAATCTCGAAAAATACCCCAAAATTACGTCGCCTATATGTCGAATAATATTGCAATGGAAATGAGAAAAGTTCGCCGTGAAAAAGGCTTCTAGACAAACGCAGATTGTAGCTGCTGTTTAACGATGCTTTGCTTTGTGTAGTAATTATGTGTTTCACCGTAACAAACTAATATGGATTTTTTTTTTGCATGGTGAAACAGGTTGTTTGGACCGTCTTTGCTCTCGTTAGCATGGCGTGGACGACTTGTTCACAACATTATTTCCGACTGACTTTTTCTCATATTTTTGAATCTATTTATCAGGACTGTGATCAAAAACGGACAGGCAACTACTTTTACCTGGAAGATTAAAGCTTCTGTTACTCCATTCAAAGTAAGTACCAAGTGCAGCTCCTTCAAGAAGGCAGCAGTCAGGGTGGATGTAACAGAAAACGAGTCTGAAATGGCGCAATGATATGGACACTCTTCAGAGATCACTGACCAAAAGAGAAATTCTCCTCGCTGGTTTCCATAGAATTTTTATGGTGCTAGTTGGGTGAATTTGACTATCGCTCCGTGTAGTTATTGTTATGACCTACACCTGGCTTTATGTTGACATTCTTTGGAGAACTCAGATCGCAATCGCCGTTAAACCTAAACGGGACAATAAAACTAATATCTCTTCTCTAACTTAAAAATGAAAATTTCAAGGAACTGAAACTTAACGTTTTGCAATTACCTCCTAATGAGCTGATGAATCGCTTATAGTATGTGCGAAAAACGTATTTAGCGTTAGTGTTTGTCCTGTGTGTAAGCCCATGGTTGCTCATGACTTGGAAAATGCAACTGTCTGTCACTTACTCACTTGTTAAGCTGTCAGCCAATTTAACGAGCTTTCTGATTACTGAAGGCCATAAATCGGTCAACAGTTAACCTTATTATAGAGTATATACTTTTTGTGTTTTATCTCCGAGGATAATAAAGTGTACTATCTGTTCATCAGTTGATATCACTTACCAAGTTTGACTTTTGAACCCAAATCAACCACATTTACAGCAACAACGTGCAAAGATAAAAACTCCCAACGTGTCAACGGGCTAAGACTGTACTCTGATTAAGAATGTATCAATTTTGAGATGGCACGAACCCTCGTTCAGTGCAGTGACACTATAAAGCGCTGAACTCTGGATCGAGTTAAGAACAACACAGTAGCTTTAAGCCACAAAAATCTTCATGTTTTGCCTAAAAGTACAAAATTGTTGCTCTTGGAGTTGACTATTCGCTCAGAAATCTAGTGCTCGTAGTCTGATTTCTAACAACCTACCTACTGTAGACCTTGTTTTGCTTTGTAGATCACTAGAGCTCGGTAGTAAATTCTTGAGGCCGTCCCCTTTAAACCAAAAATTGCCGTTGCATTTCTAGAAATGTCCAGAAATGAGTGGAACAGCATTTTGCCTCGGTTGACCGCACCAGAAGTGATACCAGAATTTTTTCCCAAAATTTCCTTAAAAAAGAGGACAAGTTCGCAAGTTATAACCAAGTTTTCTGAGATGTTAGGCTGCGTATCTTGGCGGTTTAAGCAATTTTTTAAGCAGTTTTTAGCGCGAGCGCACAAAGCGGCGAAGTTGTCTCTCTCCCAGGCTCCTCGCGGCTTTGGTGCTCGTTTTCGCGGCTTCACCGCTTCCTTAGCGCGCTCAAATTGATTAAAAACCGCCAAGCTACGCAGACTACTAAAATGTCTCCCCAGAAATTTTCGTTCCATTCGAAATTATGGACAAATTTCTCGAATATTCATTTAAGGAGGCTGGCAACAGTTTCCAGCACTTTTGGAACGGGTATACTTTGACGGATGAATACGACCACTGTTTATCAAGTGATACTACAATATTGGCATCGCGTAAATGCCCGGCTATTAGTGAACCCATATGGTCATCTTTGTAGCATAATAGGTTACCATAGCAACAGTATAACCTGTGAAAAACACCTTTAGTTTTAGCTTTAAGTGCTTATCACCCAAAATACGAGTTCGGTAACCCCCATTTTTTGTTATCAAGTAGCAGGTCCTACTGTTGCTGTGGTAACCTTCTCTGTCACGAAAATGATAACAAATGTTCACCGATGACTTGGCAGGTTTTTGCTCCCATGATTGTAGCATCAACTGATAGAGTAGTTAGAATGACCCATCAAAATCGTAAGTCCTGGAAAGTGCTGTAGACTGTTGCCAGCCACGTTAATGGTCATAAAGGTTCTCAACATCCGCCCCTGTTCCGAATTTTTTGCCTTTAGAATGAAGAGTGATCTTGTATTTAACGGCTTATTTTGTATTGCAAGTCGGACCCTTTTCTTTCTGAAATCCGGTACACGAAAATGATGAAACAATTCAAGGGACAGTTTTAATTTGTCACCAGTGGTTAAAAAATATTTATTGTCTATTATCTTTTTGTGTGATAGTTCAGTAGCGTATGTCTGCACCTGTTTTGCTTAGTGAAACATTCCTCACTACAGGAAGCTGTTTGATTTATCAGTTGTATTAAAAGAACTGTCCCGAAACATCGGTTCAATCTTGGACTTATCTCTAAACTGGATCGCCTCCACCCCGCGCCCCTCGCCCCCTACCTCCGCTCCCCTAAAAGAAAAACAATTACACGCGTTTTGCTTTTCAAGTAACGCAGGGTGCTTATACGTGGGGCGGTGAAACGAGCGGGTCCGAGCAAAAAGGTGTGAAGCAGTAGACTGGGGTCTACTAAAACGAGCAGATTCCGCTTACTTACACTGGAACTTAGATTTAAGAAATTCCACGAAACTCCCTTGAGTTGGGGGCCAAAAGCACAAAAAAGCCTTTAGAATACCTCACTGGTGGCTCAGATTTCCGGTTCGTTGAGAGGAAATTTTTGGCAGCCATTAATCTCACCGGAAGCGCGGAACGCGCGCTCGTGCCAGTCCTTCTCCGCTTCACACATTAGACCAAGAGCGGACTGCCCGTTTCAACACCCGGCCTTTTTCCGCCCTGAGTAACGCACTAGCTCCTGGACGTAGATTCTATTCAATATTATATTGTTTTTGTTTCAATTCAGTTTATGACTTTCTTTTGAACCCTATATGTGGCACTGGGATTGCAAAAGAAATCTGTTTTTTTTTTTATTTTGAATATCTTTCACTGTCTTCCGATTTCTCTAAAAGTGTATAGGGCTTATCGATAGCGTCCCGGCAAACTGAGTTGAAATTGTAAATCTTCGCTGCGTCAGTGTTTCAAAATAAAATTTCTTTAAGGCCTTCACAGATTTGACGTGTTGGTTTCAAACGATCGGCGTGTGAAGGTTTGCCGGAAATCAAAATTATTTATGCAACTGATTATGAGCGATTTGGTGATTTTATAGTCGCGCAAATTTCCAGCGCCTCATCCGAGATATAAACCGGTATAACAACTGGTGTTTGTAATTGAATGCTTGCTTTGTATTTCAGATCGAACCATATTTTAAGGCCCCGTTTACATTACGCCGGAAAAATTTGAAAACTGCATTTTTAGTCTGAAAACGCATCAAATGCTTTCCGTCCACATTACGCCGGAGAAATTTGAAAACGCAACAATTACCGGTCATTTTGGATTTGTTTTCGAGGAAAACTGGAGCAGGGAAATCACGTGATTATCGTGACGTCATCATTTTCGAAAAGCTTCCGTTTTATGCTGTTTTCCGTCCACACTAAAACGCAAAGCCGGTGTTTTCAAATTTCTCCGGTTTGAAGAGCGTTTCAGAAAAGTTCCGTTTTCGTGACGGATTTAGTGTGGACGGTAGGCCTAACCATAGAAATAAAGTTGTGCTTTCAAATTTCTCAAGCGTAGAGTGGACGCTAGATTCCGTCCAATAATAAACCCGACAAAAATAACCTTTGAACAAAAATAATCACAGGGCTCTTTGTTGGAATCGTGCAGAATTGATGAACACGCTCTAGGCATTCAGAGTTCATGTTTTATCGTTGTTGAACTTGGAACAGCTCTATTTCAGCCTCGTACAAAAGCAGCGATGAGGAAGAATTGGAAACCGTTGATTGATTAACTAAAATCAAGGCTTTTAGCAAACGCTTTCTCACAGGGTGTTTTTAAAAGTCTGATAAAGTTGGCGCAGATCCGGTATGCAAATGATGTTCAGTTGATTATGAAACATTTCATGTTATAGTTAGCTAGTTGTCTTGCTGTGTTAGTTCGTGTGTGTTCTGTACACGTTTTGCTCACTGGAGCGCTCAGTCAGTACGCTGGTTGATTTATCAGTTGATTAATGAATGCGTCCTGGTAAAACCATCACACTTTCAGAGAAATAAGAAGACAAGGAGAGATTGACGAGTATATTTTCATATCAAAAAAATGTCTAGCAACACCAGAGTTAATTAAAAGTAAGATACAAAAGAAAGCCACAAACTGAATTGAAACGAAAACATTTGTGTCACTTGGAAAGCAAAACGCGTGTCAACGACTTAATCAATAAAGTTAAATTAAATCTTGGATGTGTTAGTTTTTTTACTGCAACTGGGAAAGTTGCCAGGAAATCAGAATCATTTATATAAGTGATTAGTAGAAATTTCCAGCTCTTTATCTTGGATAACAATAATTTATCAACGAGGGAAAAACATCATTGTCTATCTATTGACTGTGATCATAGTTTTGCCGTGGTCAGGTTGTCCGTGCACTGTAAATTTGTGTCGATGGCTGCAGCCAACTTAAATTTTATTATATAACTATAGCTCTTGTTCCGGACATTTTACAAGATAGTAAATACCCTATGTAACCCAGCTGGTATTTTCCAGGGTTATTGTATTACTTTCGCTGTCTGATAACATCGCCAGACGTTTCCAGCGCACTTTGAAGGATACGTCTCAAAATGTATCTAGCAAAATCGCTTTTTACCAAGGTTATAATGAACATGTTAGGCGCTGTTCTGACGTCCGCTTCTGCGCTTGGTAATGGCTTCGTTCTCGCGACGATTGCTCGGTTTAAATCGTTACGAACAGTTCCGAACATTCTCATCGCCAATCTCGCAGTGGTGGACCTCCTTTACGCAGCTGTTAACCTGCCTTTCCATATGATCTCCAACTCAGAAGCCAGTTGGTACAGAGGTCAGACCTTGGCTATAGTGACAGCCTTCCTAAGCCGAGTCTTTACGATTCTCAACCTTACTTCAATGCTCGCTATGATGGCGAATGTGTTCTTGGCCATTGCCTTCGATTTCAAGTACCTTGCCTGGAAAACAAAGAAAAAGGTCATGATCTGTGTTGTCCTTATTTGGTTGATAGACCTTGTGGTGACGATCTTGGGATCAATACCACTCCTCAACATCAATCTTGCAGACGCTCGCGTCCGTGATTTCAGGAGGTGGACATGGGGGGAGGGGGGTTCTGAACACCGCAACACCGCAAAAAAAATTAACGAACGCCGCATCACCGCAAGAAAAGTCAACGAAACACCGTCACCGCAACACGTATTTTTAGCGTCATGATTTGTTCATCTACACTTAAAATAATACTCTTATACTTCAACAATTTTCCACAAAATAAACACATCACAACGCTTTGCCAGTCATTGGGCATATGTCAATGCTGCTGATGCTTGTAAATCAATTTTCTTGCTTCTGTGAAGAAACCTTGCGCGAAGCTAGGAAGCGGACGAAGAAAAAAGAGAGGAGCCTCGAGAAATGACCTTTACCCTAGATCCCTCTCTTCTTTTACTTCGCTCACTTTTGTTGGTGTATAAACCCACTGAATGAAGCCTTATCTTGACTGAAAGTATTTCTTTCGGTAGCTAGCTACGTTTACGTTCGATATCGATAATCGTTTGAAAAAATAGGTCAAGAAAGTGGAGCGGAGCGGGTATAGACCGGTATCAGAATGACCTATAGACGAAGCCGAATAGCAAAAGGAAATAAATAGTTAACGTGTGTAATTTACAAACCTTCCTATAGTGTAGCGGCTAACAGCTTCAATTGTTCACTTGGTGATACAAGCATGAAATTTGGCTGGAACATTCTAAATTGTCTATTCTTTCATTCTAGTCGATTAGCCACTTGAAATTCGCATTAACATGAGTTTTTTTCGAAATGGCTAAAAATGGGTGCGATGTAATAAAATGGCGGCCATTTTAAGTGATATCCTTACTTCCAACTCATCTTGATGCAACATTTGAGCAGTTTATTACTCCCTGATTACAACGTTTTACTGCTATCATCCTTTAGATACAATTGACTATTCCATACATCTCTCAGTTTCTGAAAATGTCCAAACAATTCTAAAGAATTCTTTCTTTAACAGGCGCTCATAATCTCGTAGTCACGGTACTGTCATATACAGGTTACGTTATGTGCCTATCCGGTATCCAGTACGGTAATTCAATACGCCCCGCAGTTTCTTAGCTGGGTAA